CCAACCAACCGTTCACACACACACACACACACCGTTGCTCACTAACAAACAACATCTAATCTAACCACACCAAAAAACCGCTCAAAGACTAATCTTTCATCTTCTACGACTTCATCTCTCTTACTTCATTCACAACTTCCATGATCTCAACTATTACCCCACACATAAACACACACACACACACCAACTCAATCGTTTTTACCCATAGACCAATCACAAGCACCTCCAATGGATACGGTTTCTCTCACGAGTTTCGTTTACTGTTTGCTTGTTAATTGACTTGATAAAGGCCTTCCAAGAGGGTTGAATCGTCGTCAACTGAGTGCCTGGTACCTCTGAACAATCGAATGGGCTAATCCAAGCTTGATACTCTAAAAAGTTGATTGAGCCATTCGCACAAAGTGATAACCGTCGTCAGTGTAGCTCAGGGGTAAGGGTTTGAAGTCCCGACCCGACTGAGCACGGTTCGAGTCCTGACAGGGACACAAAAAGTACGCACTGCTGACAAGTCCCAAAAACAGGACGAAACAGCTGTCCAGTGCGCTTTGTTGGTTATCATAAACATTTCCATCGTATTTAAATGCATACAAACAGTGGGGAATTAACGATCTCCAAAGGAGTGAAACCCACACACCGAAGACCATCAAGAGTGCCTGGTGCCTCTGAACGATCGAGTGGGCTAATCCAAGCTTGATACTCTAAAAAAATTTTTTTTGTTTTTCTCGCGTTGTGGTTAATCCAAACATTCTTATGCAGAAATAATTATTATTTCATTTTTTAATTCATACTTCCTTTGATTGAATTTAAAACAATACAATTTTCAGGTAGAAGAAGGCGAGCAATCAACTGACTGCCGCCTAATACAATGGGACATGTCAAGCTGTGGTTGTGAGATTCGAACCCACGTCCCCTGAGAGGATTGTTTGGTGACGTTACCCCTCGGCCACCACAGGTGAGTCATAAACTCATTTTCTACAGTTTGAAATGTGTCTAATGCACACCGTTTTCTTTTTCTCCTTACGTCATTTTTATTAAATAAATTATTGTGCAATCAGCTTTAGAAAGGGGGAAAACGGTCAACTAAAGTGTTGCCTTGAAATACGAAGGATAAATTACATATTCGGAGTTTTGACCATATGACTGGAAGAACGAATCCCAACATTGATGCTGCATTATATCAGAACGAAATAATGAATAATAACCGTTACAAAGATTTTTCCACATCCGTAATATTCTCATATTCAAACAGAATATTGGCTGCCAAGTGTTAATTTGTCCACGTAGCAGGCAGGAATATATCGTGAATTAAGTTGATATCAGAAAGTACAGGACTTGTTTACCTTAAAGGTCAAACTACGACGATTGGACCAGAACTAAAAGCAGTTGGACCAGAACTAAAAGCAGTTGGACCCCGGTTTGCGGACGGTCGGTCTNTGTGTCCGCCGTTGACCAACAACTACAATGTCTGACATCCCAAATTGTCAATTCTGATTGGTCCATCAGTAGACCAATAAGGACGAAGCGTTCCACCGTGTTTTGTGGCACGTGTGCATTGTTGTTGATGATGGTTGTGTTGTTCACCGTCATGTGAAACCGAGTTGAGTTTGTGTATATTGTCCAAGTGCTAACACGACCATACAGTGTGTTCACGAACCACAATAATTGCACGCTCAGAAGCGACACAAACATGCTCAGTGAATCAGTATGACGATTCGAATTTGCCGTTCTCTCTCTCTCTATGTGTGTGATCCTATTTCTCGACCGATCTGATATTTTCATCGACTCCGTTTGACAGGGAAAATTATGAAAACACAAACAAAAAGCACCAATTGTGATAAATTGTGGCGGGTGTGGTACGGTATCCTAGTCACTGTTCTGCACATTTTTCTTGTCTACGTCGGCATCAATCGATATTTGGCGTTCAAATCCCAAGCATTTGATGCTAAATTTGGCGGTGATTGGAATCAATCGGGCATGAATTTTACTCTGGCCATGCTTATCAGCGCCTTGGTTTTTCTATGCCTATTCCTATTCACCTGTGTGACAAGGACCACAAATTATGCAAATGAAGGCACACAGATCGGCCGGGATACGGACAATTTACACTTGTTGACAGCTGTGAGTCAACCGTGGCGTAATGCTACTACTACTCTGCCGCTAATGACCATGGGCAGTGGTGTAAGTAACACCTATAGTCCCGGGGTCGCCGTAAATGGTGGCTTAGTTCAACGACCCGGTTTCACTACCGCGTCTGAGGATGATCGTGTCTCGGCCATGGGTGGAGAAGATATCCTGCCGGGGGCAAATTTCGACACCTGGTCCGGGAAAAGTGGACCCAATCCGGATGTATTTCAACCGACCTACCCCGGCCCGAATGGACCGCGATTGCTCTCGTCCACTCCGGGCACGGTTGGTAATCCCGGCAGCATGGAACACTTATCTGTCACTCGAAGTACCCGGATTCTTTGGCATCGATTGCAACGTCATTTTTTACCATACACAAATATGTTACATCTGGCCGCGGCGTTTTGTCTCATTCTTCCAATCCCCATCATTCATGCTCAACAAATATTTCATCGAGCATTACCCATCGGTGAGTCAGATTGTGTCATTTTTTTTGGGGGGGGGGAGTGTATATTTGTATTTGGTGTCTAAATTCTCATAGCCCTTGTTCACATAACAATTGATGCAACTGATTAATAATATCTTTCAAAACGGAAATTCGTCGTGTATATGGCAAATGAAGCGTGAACTGAGAAGCCAGGAAGCACTGGACAGCTGTTTCGACCTGGTTGGGACTAATCAGTGCAGTGCGAATCCATCGACCCAACGCTTCATTTGCCATATACACGATGAATTTCCATTTTAAAATTGAATCA